TAATGGAGTTATAGAAATAAATGTTTTGTTTTCCAAAAAAGAAAGAGGGAAATAATTTGAAGGAAAAAGACATGGAAGGATGGTCAACTTTCCAAAAGTTAATATAAAAGTAGATTCGCCCCCTCGATCAACCCATTATTCCTTTCCAATTACGTTATTCGCTCCTACCCCTACCCCTAGGTATTATCGTACATTTATTTTTATTATTATTTATTAGAAGGGTATTCGTACAATGTAGCGAGATATTTTTTGATTTTAATGTTTTTTTGTCTCAATTGATGTTATAATATTGTTTTATGTGGTTTCGAGAAAACGATAATGTTTTTATTTTTGTATAATATATAAATATGAAGATATCATAAAAAAATTAAAAAAATATGTGATATTAGTATCGAACTAACTATTTAACATTTTTTTCTATGTATTTTCTTAATTCATTTTTTTGGTTTAATAATATAATTTTTTATAAAAATAATGATCAAATATTTTGTTAGAAGTCGATGATTATCTTAATTATATTTTAGATTTTTTATATTTAAAATGAGATATTTATCATCTATTTGATTATGTTAATCTGCAGTTAGTTACACGAATTCAAACATAAAGCTTTAATAAGTTGTATTTACGCACAGTTTACTTGTAATATTTAATTTTAAGCAATATGCATAAAAAATGACTTTTAGGAATCTTTATCAAATGTTTTATAATATAGTATAGATTATGCATTTAAATATTAATTATAAACCAAATTTTAAATAATTAATAAAAAATAAAGTTATAAATTACTCAAATTATTGTTAAAAATAATTTGGTATCTGTTTGTTGAAACCAAATTTGATTATGTGTTACTTTTTATTAAGTTAAATATTTATAAATGTTTAAAAAATTTAATATTTGTAAACAAATAAAGTTATACAATTATTTGAGTAAATTAGACTTTTCATCTATGTGATTTATTAAAAATTGCGATTTTCATTTTCGTGGTTTAGAAATTACAGTTTTCTGTCTTTATGGTTTGCAATTTATTGTTATTTTCGTTCCTAAGCTGATTCTTACCTTTTTAAATACATGGGACCAAATTAGTAAAGAACTGTAAACCAAAAGGACTGAAACAACAATAAATTATAAATCAAAAGAACAAAAAAAAACAACGATTTACAAACTACTGGGACGAAACCATAATATCTAAACCACAAGTATGAATTAAAGAAAGATGGGATTCTTGTTGTACCTGTATTTGTATTGTGGAGTTTTATTGAAGTTTTTGTTATGTTAGGATAGAACTCACTCCGTAGAAAAAAGTGGAATAATGAAATTGTTATAAAAATCTGTTTTGTGGATGTTCTAAACATGTTTAGTTGATTGTTTATTTGTTTTGTAGTATTTCTTAGAGCATAAAAAAAAAAAAATGCACGAATGTAATTATTACTTGTAAACTTAAAATTTAAGGAATTATATTTGCACTAATCTATACTATCTTATTAAACAAATTTAGCAAAAGTCTTAAAGTCTTAAAATACTAAATAATCAAAATACTCTTTATACTCACTTTTTCACTTTTTCACCCCCTCCTCTCCTCACATATACTCGCCCTCTTACAACCGATTTTTTTAAAATTATAATTTTAAATTTACACTTTATACTCATATAATTAATTAATTAATTTACTTTACGGCATTCACTTTTAAATATTTCATTTTAAACTTTTATCATATTAACATACATAATCGTATATCAATTAAAACATGTTTAAAAAATACATTTTTATTTTAACAAGTTACACCATTATAATCGTCTCGTTAATACCTTCAAAATGAGTCCAATATTGAATAGTTTTTGACTTAATTATATTATTATATATACTGTGAAAAAATATTTTTTAATATTTACGATTTATATTTTTATAGTTATTTATATATATATATATATATATATATATATTATATATTTTGGGGTTAGGCTGTCCAAATTGCACTGTATAATATGTTTTGAATTAATATGTTCTTGGATTTTTTTGAAATATATATATATACATGTATTAATTCAACCTTAATCTGAGTTTCTGGA